ATATTGGTAAAAATCTTCCAGTGGCCTGCTTCCGTCGAGGCGATCGACATTAGCGGCTATATTTGTAGGGGATATTATTGAGCTGTTCGGCAGCGGGTAGATTGGCGAATGAATTTCTTCGTTGTTTTGGGGTCGGTTGTTTGTAGCCATTGTTCTTTACTTTGTTATAATTTTTTCCCCACAGGGAGAAAAAAGAATAAAAAATAAAAACAAAACAAGTTTTTTACACTTAATTACAAAAATAACCCGTATTTTTGTAACAAGTGATTGATCACAAATTGTGACTTTAGTGTCAGCACTGTCACTGCAGTGACTGTTTTGCCAGCACTATCAGTGCAGCTGCAAGCTGAAAGCTCTCTCGCGAAAGCTTTGCTGCACTCGCGCACACACACACGCACTTGAGTTGCGATCAGCTGAGCGCAGCTTAAGTTTTGCAAGAACTTGTTCTCACGCACTGCACGCGGTAATTTTTTTTGTTAAAATATTGTTAATTTGTATAACACTCCGGCTGCCAGAGGCAGCAGTTGCGTATAGTTTACCCACTATAAGCGGGATTTGTATGGATTGCCCTGGGGCGGGCTTTATACAGTGTCACTGTCACTTTCTTGGTTTATGCCTGCTGCCAGCGGTGCACTAACGCGCACACACACACGAGACTGCAATTTTCACGTCCGATCTCCAGAGAAACACAAACGTAAGTGGGGTAAGATTTGGACATGAATTTCGACCAAAATATGGGTGTTCAGGTTTTAAAGCCAGATTATTTTAGAGGGAAAACCATGAATAAAAAGCCAAACCTCATGGAAATCGGATGAGTTTTGACCGAGTTATGGGGATGGGAAACTTTGACCCATGCCCATAATCGAATCTTGGGGTAAGATTTGGACATGAATTTCGACTAAAAAATCGGTGTTCAGATTTGAATGCCAGATTAATCTAGAGGGAAACCCATGAAGAAAAAGCCAAACCTCATGGAAATCGGATGAGTTTTGACCGAGTTATGGGGATGGGAAATTTTGACCCATGCCCATAATCGAATCTTGGGGTAAGATTTGGACATGAATTTCGACCAAAAAATGGGTGTTCAGGTTTTAATGCCAGATTAATCTAGAGGGAAAACCATGAATAAAAAGCCAAACCTCATGAAAATCGGATGAGTTTTGACCGATTTATGGGGATGGGAAAGTTTGACCCATGTCTATATACGAATGCTGGGGTAAGATTTGGACATGAATTTCGACCAAAAAACGGGTGTTCAGGTTTTAATGCCAGATTATTTTAGAGGGAAAACCATGAATAAAAAGCCAAACCTCATGGAAATCGGATGAGTTTTGACCGAGTTATGGGGATGGGAAATTTTGACCCATGCCCATAATCGAATCTTGGGGTAAGATTTGGACATGAATTTCGACCAAAAAATGGGTGTTCAGGTTTTAATGCCAGATTATTTTAGAGGGAAAACCATGAATAAAAAGGCAAACCTCATGGAAATCGGATGAGTTTTGACCGAGTTATGGGGATGGGAAATTTTGACCCATGCCCATAATCGAATCTTGGGGTAAGATTTGGACATGAATTTCGACCAAAAAATGGGTGTTCAGGTTTTAATGCCAGATTAATCTAGAGGGAAAACCATGAATAAAAAGGCAAACCTCATGAAAATCGGATGAGTTTTGACCGAGTTATGGGCATGGGAAATTTTGACCCATGCCCATAATCGAATCTTGGGGTAAGATTTGGACATGAATTTCGACCAAAAAATGGGTGTTCAGGTTTTAATGCCAGATTATTTTAGAGGAAAAACCATGAATAAAAAGCCAAACCTCATGGAAATCGGGTGAGTTTTGACCGAGTTATGGGGATGGGAAATTTTGACCCATGCCCATAATCGAATCTTGGGGTAAGATTTGGACATGAATTTCGTCCAAAAAATGGGTGTTCAGGTTTTAATGCCAGATTATTTTAGAGGGAAAACCATGAATAAAAAGCCAAACCTCATGGAAATCGGGTGAGTTTTGACCGAGTTATGGGGATGGGAAATTTTGACCCATGCCCATAATCGAATCTTGGGCTAAGATTTGGACATGAATTTCGACCAAAAAATGGGTGTTCAGGTTTTAATGCCAGATTATTTTAGAGGGAAAACCATGAATAAAAAGCCAAACCTCATGGAAATCGGATGAGTTTTGACCGAGTTATGGGGATGGGAATTTTTGACCCATGCCCATAATCGAATCTTGGGGTAAGATTTGGACATGAATTTCGACCAAAAAATAGGCGTTCAGGTTTTAATGCCAGATTATTTTAGAGGGAAAACCATGAATAAAAAGCCAAACCTCATGGAAATCGGATGAGTTTTGACCGAGTTATGGGGATGGGAAACTTTGACCCATGCCCATACTCGAATCTTGGGGTAAGATTTGGACATGAATTTCGACCAAAATATGGGTGTTCAGGTTTTAATGCCAGATTATTTTAGAGGGAAAACCATGAATAAAAAGCCAAACCTCATGGAAATCGGATGAGTTTTGACCGAGTTATGGGGATGGGAAACTTTGACCCATGCCCATAATCGAATCTTGGGGTAAGATTTGGACATGAATTTCGACTAAAAAATCGGTGTTCAGATTTGAATGCCAGATTAATCTAGAGGGAAAACCATGAAGAAAAAGCCAAACTTCGTGGAAATCGGATGAGATTTGACCGAGTTATGGGAGTGGTAAATTTTGCCCAATGTCTATATACGAATCTTGTGGTAAGATTTGGACATGAATTTCGACTAAAAAATCGGTGTTCAGATTGGAATGCCAGATTAATCTAGAGGGAAAACCATGAAGAAAAAGCCAAACTTCGTAGAATTCGGATGAGATTTGACCGAGTTATGGGGGTGGTAGTTTTTGACCCATGTCTAGATACGAATTTTGGGGTAAGATTTGGACATGAATTTCGACTAAAAAATCGGTGTTCAAATTTGAATGTCAGATTAATCTAGAGGGAAAACCATTAAGAATAAGACACATATCATAAGAATCGGATGAGATTTGACCGAGTTATGGGCATGGGAAATTTTGACCCATGCCCATAATCGAATCTTGGGGTAAGATTTGGACATGAATTTCGACCAAAAAATGGGTGTTCAGGTTTTAATGCCAGATTATTTTAGAGGGAAAACCATGAATAAAAAGCCAAACCTCATGGAAATCGGGTGAGTTTTGACCGAGTTATGGGGATGGGAAATTTTGACCCATACCCATAATCGAATCTTGGGGTAAGATTTGGACATGAATTTCGTCCAAAAAATGGGTGTTCAGGTTTTAATGCCAGATTATTTTAGAGGGAAAACCATTAATAAAAAGCCAAACCTCATGGAAATCGGGTGAGTTTTGACCGAGTTATGGGGATGGGAAATTTTGACCCATGCCCATAATCGAATCTTGGGGTAAGATTTGGACATGAATTTCGACCAAAAAAAGGTGTTCAGGTTTTAATGCCAGATTATTTTAGAGGGAAAACCATGAATAAAAAGCCAAACCTTATGGAAATCGGGTGAGTTGTGACCGAGTTATGGAGATGGGAAATTTTGACCCATGCCCATAATCGAATCTTGGGGTAAGATTTGGACATGAATTTCGACCAAAAAATGGGTGTTCAGGTTTTAATGCCAGATTATTTTAGAGGGAAAACCATGAATAAAAAGCCAAACCTCATGGAAATCGGATGAGTTTTGACCGAGTTATGGGGATGGGAAATTTTGACCCATGCCCATATACGAATCTTGGGGTAAGATTTGGACATGAATTTCGACCAAAAAATAGGTGTTCAGGTTTTAATGCCAGATTAATCTAGAGGGAAAACCATGAATAAAAAGGCAAACCTCATGGAAATCGGATGAGTTTTGACCGATTTATGGGGATGGGAAAGTTTGACCCATGTCTATATACGAATGCTGGGGTAAGATTTGGACATGAATTTCGACCAAAAAACGGGTGTTCAGGTTTTAATGCCAGATTATTTTAGAGGGAAAACCATGAATAAAAAGCCAAACCTCATGGAAATCGGATGAGTTTTGACCGAGTTATGGGGATGGGAAATTTTGACCCATGCCCATATACGAATCTTGGGGTAAGATTTGGACATGAATTTCGACCAAAAAATAGGTGTTCAGGTTTTAATGCCAGATTAATCTAGAGGGAAAACCATGAATAAAAAGGCAAACCTCATGGAAATCGGATGAGTTTTGACCGATTTATGGGGATGGGAAAGTTTGACCCATGTCTATATACGAATGCTGGGGTAAGATTTGGACATGAATTTCGACCAAAAAACGGGTGTTCAGGTTTTAATGCCAGATTATTTTAGAGGGAAAACCATGAATAAAAAGCCAAACCTCATGGAAATCGGATGAGTTTTGACCGAGTTATGGGGATGGGAAATTTTGACCCATGCCCATATACGAATCTTGGGGTAAGATTTGGACATGAATTTCGACCAAAAAACGGGTGTTCAGGTTTTAATGCCAGATTATTTTAGAGGGAAAACCATGAATAAAAAGCCAAACCTCATGGAAATCGGATGAGTTTTGACCGAGTTATGGGGATGGGAAATTTTGACCCATGCCCATATACGAATCTTGGGGTAAGATTTGGACATGAATTTCGACCAAAAAATGGGTGTTCAGGTTTTAATGCCAGATTATTTTAGAGGGAAAACCATGAATAAAAAGCCAAACCTCATGGAAATCGGGTGAGTTTTGACCGAGTTATGGGGATGGGAAATTTTGACCCATGCCCATAATCGAATCTTGGGGTAAGATTTGGACATGAATTTCGACCAAAAAATGGGTGTTCAGGTTTTAATGCCAGATTATTTTAGAGGGAAAACCATGAATAAAAAGCCAAACAGTATAAAAATAGGATGAGTTTTGACTGAGTTATGGGGATGGGAAATTTTGACCCATGTTTCGATTCTTTTCCTCTCCCACTCGCTTCACACGAAGCTTATTTCGAAACACTTAGCAACTCGTGTATTATTTGAACAAGAACGAATAACAATTTCAAAACATACGGAAGAGAACAAAATTTACAAGGATTTCTCAGCCAGACCCGCGGCAAGTATCGGAGGCAGCTCATCCTCCAAGATTTCGTTGGTTTCAGTCAATTTTATTACCGACATTTCCGCTTCATCATCGAACGGACAGTCGCCCAGTTGGACATCGGTGCTATCGTTGGGCTCATCCATGATGCCCACCAAGTTCTCCTCCTCCTCTTGCTTCTCCTCCTGCAGCTGCCCCTCCTGCTCCGTCTTTTCATTGACCTCGTTCTCCTCCATGCTCTCGGTTCCTTTATTATCCTGCTCCTCCTCGTCGGTGAGCACGCCCACCATGGGATAGTTCTTATCGAGCAGCTTGTCCCAGCGTGCCATATAATCGATCTTGGTTTCGCGCGGCTGCAGCGTGCGCTCCAGATACTCGGAAAAGTTTCGTCCCGCCACGCAGCCCAGTACGCCCTGGGGACTGAAGTCCTCAAGGCCGGTGGACACATCATAGATCTTGCCCTTGAAGGCGATCAGAATGCGTCCGTCGCTGCGACTGCCATCGTAGTCGAGCAGCTGTTTTTCCGTCATTTTGGTGAACGGAAAGGGCGGCAACTCTGGCGCCGCCTTCTGATCCTTGCGCGCATTCTTGTCGCCGCACACGCGATTCTTCAGCTTCTGATAACAATGACAAAATATATATCCCACAACAATCAGACCGAATATCAAGACGGCACCAAATAGCCCATTCTCCTCGGCCATAGCTAGTCAATTTTCGGCTTCAACTTTTTGGGTTTTCGAAAAAATTATGGAAAAAACTTTTATTCCACAGAGCTGATATGTTACTCTCGAAATGATTTCACAGGGTTTGACTCGATTTGAAGTAGTACAAACTTGACAATGGGTAAAGCGCTTTTCAAGGCCGACTTCGAGACGTTGTTATATTATATTTAGTCGCATATTTGTTAGTAACAGAATTTTCTAGAGGGTATTGAAGAATTAGGACATGGTAAATTTCAGAGTCAAACTCTACTCTTATATAGAGTACCAGACTTTATATCGAGCTGGCTTTATAAAGAGTCTAGCTTTCTTCTGTGCATACATACTCACACATACATACCCAAACACACACACACACACACACACCGCCTTACTGCATTGTCTTTGCCTAAGCTCTTTCTCTAGACCCTCATTATAAGAACTTCGGTGCTTATAGTCCGATCGTCATGTAATTTTTAGGCTAAGGCGTTCAAAAAGTCAAATATTTCGGATGTGCGTGCTCTACAAGAGTCTACATATAACATCTGGTAAGCCCAATTCTTATAGGAAACGAGATACGCTTAAGAGAAAAGGTTAATATTTCTTATAAGCTGCGATATAGGCTTAACAGATAAAACGATAAGATTTTGCTATCGGTTTATTTCGATATCGAGCTATTGATTATTTGAAATAGACTTAAACAGCGCGGGCAAATGCAGAAACTAGTCACAAAATATCCAGAGTCTCGAGCTAAGAGTCGCTGAGATCGACGCGTTTAGCCTTTTTTGTTGGTTCCTGATGTAAGATATTTGCAGCTGAACTGAATTTTACGAACTAAATAATTCTTGTTCCTATACAACACTTATTTTGTAATTGCCCAAAAATCGATAATTCGATAATTAATAATAAATGTCAACTGCTGTTGCAATGAAGTTTAGATTCTTGAGGATCTTTCAAGGGGTCCTAGTGTTAGATATTTGCAGCTTGCTTGAAGTTTGCCAACTCTTTTAAGTACTTTCGGAGTAAACAACATTTGCCACAGAAACAATCGCTTAAAAATCGATTATTTGAGTGCGAATTGAATTCTCATGGCGCCTATTAATAGCTACTCTTGTTGATAATTTGAAAGACTATCAAAGGAATGTCATAAAAAAAAGCACATGTGCTAATTGCTCAATTTAAATTCTTTGCTTTGCTTCTTGCTTTTCTTTTCGGGGCTCGCCCGTTGACAGCTGCAAATGTTTGCGTTGATAACAGAGCTCGGCCGCCTGCCCCTTTCGGCGGGCATATCAAGTGATATCAGCGAGCGTCTCTCTCATGCTCTCCGGTATCAATTGGCTGTCGCAGGCCCAGTCACAGCAGGTGATAATGGCAGTGGGAATAACAGGAGTTCAGCAATTGGAGCAGCCAGCAGCTGCTTGACAATGTTCACAGACGCTGACACAAAATGTACACACACACACACACACATGCAGTTATCAGTTGATTAAATATGAATTACACACACACACACAAACAAACAAACACACACACACACACACAGAGAGACAAACACATTCAGAGTGTAAAATGATAAGCGCCAGTTAATAATATAAAAAAATTTCATATACAGGGTGTTGCATTGCGATGAGGCAAGTCTAAGTGGGCGAAGGGGGCAGGTGGGGGCAGGTGGAAAGTGGAACCAAATAAATGCATACCTGTACAAATAAGCACATATTTGCACATGAGTTTAAATAGGCGTGCTTAGCTAAATATACCTTATAGAGTTAGTTGGCATAAAGATTTCGAAAAAAAAAAATTATTTAAATTTTATTTAGAAATATTCTCACAATTTCTATCTGCCATATTTGTCATATCTATATGCATTTTATTCATTTTTAACAATTATGCTTTAAATTTTTAAATTCCCATTAAATGTTTACAGTTAATTAAATAAATAACAAGTAAGAGGTTCTAGACGGAAGCGCCCGAATAGGGTATACCCTGAACCCTCTTCTTCTTCTACCATCAAATGCATATATATATTCTATTTTAGAAGCTATATGTCAAGTTTGGTGACTCTAGCTCTTATTATTTACCAAAATTGCCCAAAAAACAGGATATCGATATCGATTTTTATCGATTGCTTGGAAGCGGAGTAAGTTATCGACTATCGGAAACAAACTCGATCTGCGCAGGCACTAGGAGCACTTACATCTTTCAAGTCTCTAGCTCTTATAGTTTCTGGATTCTTGCACCGTCCGTCCGTCTGTCCATATGTATGAAACATACGGACGGACAGACAGACAGACGGACATGGCTAGATCGACTCGGCTATTGATGCTGATCAAGAATATATATACTTTATGGGTTCGGAGATGCTTCCTTCTGCCTGTTACATACATTTGCATTTTGCACAAATACAATATACCCTTATACCCATTTTGAATGGGTTCAGGGTATAAAAATGTTGTTTTTGGCGATTTCGAATATATTTAATATTTGCTTAGCTGGCTTAAGATGCAGGGATCAAAATGATATTTAAATAAATTGCACGCTCGAGCCAGCTAATCAAATATTTTAAAAATTGGAAAGATCCCCGAAATCAACATTGTTTAAATTTAGTTTGTAAATATTTTGTACATGTTTACTTCCTATATCTATTAAGAAGAAAGAAGAACCCCTCCCTAAAATGCATATTTGACGTAACTGCAGAAATCTATCTAAAGATTCTGTTCAAGATCAATGAGCTGCATATAAAGCCATGTCTGTTCACTTATATTGCGTTTTATACTAGGCAAGGCTTCGACTTTTTGCCGTAGATCGAAGTCGTCTATGTCAAGCCCATATCTGTCTATAACTAGATCGTATAGCTGTCATTGTTAAATTGTCTGAAACTCGCTTTGGCTGTATGTGAATTCTCAAACTCAGCCATAGAAGTAGAAGCACGAGTAAGAATAGAAGGGTATACAAATGATATGAAATTATAATCAAGATTCACAAATTGCATTATGAAGCTTATCAGAAATAAATCCACGAGCTATTTTTGCTTGAGTTTAATAGTTAATATTTTAATATATTATATATTCTATGCTGAGAATCTAATTCTTTGCACTTTCCTATGATTTTCCCAAGAGATCTAGTTGATTTTATTATTTAAATTTGTATTACCTTGAACTTTCGCTCGAGTGAACTCTATTGATACACACATAATATTTATTAAAGACTGTAATATTATTGTTTATTTCCCAGTGTAAATTGTAAATATTGCCGTTAACCTACACGGAATTTACTTACCCAATGAAATCTTTGATAAAACAATAAACCTTAAATAAACCGCGATCATTATTCAGTAAATAGTCGGGCTCTATGACGGAAGCCATAAGGCCAATACCCTGTTGATGTTGTTGTTGCTGTTGTTGTTGTTGTTGTTGTTGTTGTTGTAGTTGTTGTTGCAGCGTCGCCGCGCTGCTGCTGCTGCTGCTAGTCGCCATGTTGGCAGCCATTTTATTGGCTAGCGCAGCCATTTTGCCGCCATGCTGGCGTTTAAATTTAACATGCAGTTAGCAGTTGCTGTTAGCGTTAAATTTGTTGTCGTTTTAATTGTTGTTCTGTTAGCCGTGCTTTTTATTAGTTTTTGCAACTGTTGGCCGAAAGAGAAATTGCTTTTGTTTTGCTGTTTTTTTTTTTTCAAAAGGAAAATAACAACGAAAAAAAATTACATTTACAAAGCAATTGCCAAATTTTCAATCAATGGAAAATTGCACACAAAAATTTGCCAATTTCATTACGAGTGCTGCGAGTGTGAGCATGTGTGTGTGTGTGTGTAGATGTGTGTGTGTGTGTGTGTGTGTGTGCATTGCATGCTTCATAATCAGAGACATTTATTCATATGAGCCAAGCATTTAATGAACATTCCGTTTACCTGCCGCAGGCAATCATAAATTACAAGCCACAAGACAGAAAGAAAGAGGGAGGACGTGGGGACGTCACTGTAATACACTCGCGTCCCAAGCAGTCGCACACGCATACAACACACGCATGCGATTGCTTGTTGAGCTTTTGAAGAATAGACAGCGTCAAGCACTCTGCTGAGAGCTTTTCAAGCGAAAGCTCACTAATACACATGCAACAAGCCACGCTTGTAGGCAACTGCCGTCGCGTGGAATAAGTTAATGCGAACTAATTAACCGACTATTCCAGAGAATTCTCGACGAGTGCTTGAAGCCCAGGCAATTATTTTAAATTGGCTTGTCATTTAATAAGCGGCAAAGGTTTATGTACGTATATATATACGGGAAAAAAGGGAACAGTGTACAGTTTGTCTGTGTGGCTATTCAAGAGCCTTCCGGACAGTTTATCTTTGTGGTTATTTCAAGAGCCTTCCAGTTGCATCTGAAGCAGACTTTGCAAATGCCGTATTCATCTTTTCAAGCTTTAACTTGTTGGGAATTGCAAGTGTTAACGAAAAGAGGAAGGCGATAGTCCTCTTGCTGTGTGCATTTCTGAGACATACAATATTGAACTATTTCTGATCAAAAAAAGAGCAAGAACTTTCTCCTGAGACACCCTACTCTAGCAGAGACAACACACACACACACGCACACACATACAGCATACTATGTAAATTATTTCTTAAAACCCGAGTCGTTAGTCAGTGAGTCAGTTGGTCGACGACAGGCAACGAATGTCGCCCGTTGACAGCTTTGTTGCTTATATGACAGCTAGGCTTTACAGTGCCACGCCCACACACACTCTGCCCCTCTGCAAGTGAGTGTATTGGCGTGTGTGTGTGTGTGTGGGTATGTGTAGTTTGTCAACGAGCGACTTTTACAAGTGTAAAACACAAAAGCAACAAACACGAGCCAAATGAAAAAGATGTTGGCCCAAAGATAAGGCGAGCACAACAACACAGCAAGAAATACAAAAAAAAATGCCAAGCTGCATAAAACATACAACAAAATATGTTTACAACATAATTAATTAACATACTTAATTAAAACAACAACAGCGAGCAGAAGTACACGTGCTTTTGATGCATAATTAAATATGTGCGAAGGAGAAACCAAACTAAATTTACAAGTCGGCTGTGCCCCCGAGCAGGAGATGCTCTTAACTCTGAGCC